AAAAAGTGGTGTAATTTTAAGTTTGCATTATCAACCTGCAAAGTTCCTGGCAACCTGCAAAATTCCAACCTGCAAAATCCCCAACCTGCAAAATTCGCAACCTGCAAAATTCCAACCTGCAACCTGCAACCTGCGTTTTGTACCTGCCGTCTCATCAGGGCTTTATGCCATTTTATACGGAGATACAATTTTCTGTTTTAAATCCTCATTGACTTCCGGAGCAATACCAAAATGTAAAACGATGCGTTGCTACTTGAGGTTTGAAAAAGCGTCAAAGCCAGACAGGGAATGTGTGGTACTTTGGAAAGAAATCAGTATAAAATTAGGTTTGTGAAATTGAAAATGGCAATTATGGCCATCGAGGCAGAAGACCTGGACACAGAATAAAGACACACAGAAGGTCGACTCGAGCACAGATGATAGATTATACTTTATAATATAGCATTTGTAAATTCTGAACGCTTATTGGCTAAGAGCCGTGTTGATATAACTCAATGTCAAAATTAACACGGAAACGTCGGAAAATTTCTTTCTTTATATTTCTTTGTGCTATATTATAAAACAAATATAAAACATTTTTTCACGTACTCGTGAGAATCCGCCCTTCGGGCATCGTGTTTCCACACAATTTCTCGTTTTCCCAATTTCCACTCGTGTTGATATAACTGTATATCAACACGGAAAATGTTTTATATTTGTTAAATAATCTATCATCTGTGACTCGAGTGACCGCTGCCACACCATGATTCATCATCAAAATGCTGACGCCTGGTCCTAGCCAGTGAACTCAATCTATTTATCTGGAACGACAACATTCAGTCATTTGGCAGTTAAAAAGTGAAGCCTCGCGTCACAGAATAGAAAATAGACCAGAAGCCTCATTTAGCCAAAATTATGTCCGAGATTTTTTATGCGCAAGCGCGAGACAGCAAGTGTAATCACGACGCCATCAAACGCTAGCAACGCCATCAATTGCCATCACTAGGTAGTAAAGATTGCTGTTTTAACCGTTTTTAAATGCCACAGGTCCAAATAATGGATCATCGCAACGGTAAGACACAACGTAAAAAACAAAAGCGTAAAATATTTGCACAATAATTGCAGAATATGCAGCGTACACTTTGAACATGTTTTGCGAATTAGTAGTACGTCAGTCTCAGTCCCCTTGTACGCCATCACCGCGCGTCCTATCACGAATTAGCGCCATTGATTAGCGCGATTATGATTAGCGCGCGTCAGCAGGCTGGCGTTGGCGTGAAGTGGCGTTGGCATTGGCTTCACGTTTCTCCCGTGTTATCGTTCCGGATAAAAGACATGGAGTACACTGGTCCTAGCCAGTGCGCGTTTGAGAGGTATTTACCCCTGCACGTCGGCCATTTTGAATATTAGGACGAGAATTGAGGACGCGGACGTCAAAGACGACGTGAAAATGGCGTGTTGTGCCCATGTATGGATATGCCACACCATTTTGACGCCATTTTCACGTCGTCTTTGACGTCCGCGTCCTCAATCTAAATCTGTCTATTATCAGAGTTACGCCAAAATCATTGAAAAATCATAGGAAAAACGAAGAAGTCGGGCTTCTGTATAGTCTATTCTGTGACCTGGATGACTGCATTTTTTGGCATTTTCTGGACGCCGTCCACAAGGGGAAACGACAAGCATATTTATTCTTATTTTAGAATTGCATATATATGGTTGCATGGAACTGCACATTTTGACATTTTGTGTAGAACTGCACGTTATAAATTATTTTGACAATTTGTATTTATTTTTCAGTTTTCTCTCTTTCTTGGTATAATAATTATCTGTGAAATCAGTGTGGCTATTGCGGGATATGCATATCGTTCAAAGGTGAGTAAATTCTATACATATGCATGCGACTGACGAAATCTATAGAATCCAGTGGTTTTTACGCTATGCGTACGACGTTTCCAACATTTAGGCGCTTCATGAGAGGGTTGCATCCCTACCAACGAAAACTTGTTATTTATATTGGCACTAAGAGTCAAAACTTAACAGTCTAAATTTGTATGTGTTGCTTAGAGTATAGTATATACACTTTGCAACAAAGTCTAAAAATTCCTTAAATTGAAAAGTGATAACCATGCATCTCTGTGTCAAGTACCTTTGTAAAGCTACGTTTACACGCTGCGATTTGTCGGGCCGATTTTGGTAAATAATCGATGCCCCTTCTTCGACATTTAGCGATTTAAACGTTCAATTGAAGCTGTCCGCTCTCTCGTCTGTTCATATTATAGTTTTCTGCGTGCGAAAAGTTTTCAACAACTTTACAACGGAAGAAAAATCTGTGTTAGTGTTACAGATTTTTCTCCCGATTTTGTGAATCGCAAGGTGCTGACGCGAGTACTGACGACAGGTTATTTACATACAGCGAGCAAAATCGGCCCGACAAATCGCAGCGTGTAAACGTACCTTAATGCAATGTTTCGAAAGAAATTGTGTGCTAATGCAATGAAGGGCAAAATTAGACGAGTCGTACAATAAGAAACGCAGTTGACTTTAAAAGTTTAGGCAACTACGTTCTAAGCCCTGACATTCCATGGGGGCCGCCCACTAGGCCCCAGCATTTCCACCAAAACCCGACCTTGGTTGGAGAAATATCAATATTTAACAAACATACAAACTCTTCAGAACTGGGAGTGAATAAATATGAATATATAGGGCAGAAACAGAGGGAAAAACAAGGCGTGCGTGCATGTACACTGCAAAAAATACCGGAGTATTTTGACTCAAAAATATGAGTAAAACAATGCACCCACAGTGACTCAAAATATTGAGTAAAACAACTCAACTTAGTGAGCAAATTAACTCAACTTTTTGAGTAAAGCAAATGCACCCACAGTGACTCAAATCTTTGAGTAAAACATCACTTTACTCAAATTGTGAGTAAAAAATACTCAAATTTTTGAGTAAAGCAAATGCACCCACAGTGACTCAAATCTTTGAGTAAAACATCACTTTACTCAAATTGTGAGTAAAAAATACTCAAATTTTTGAGCAAAGCAAATGCACCCACAGTGACTCAAATCTTTGAGTAAAACATCACTTTACTCAAATTGTGAGTAAAAACTACTCAAATGTGCGAGTAAAGTAAACACACCGACAGTGACTCGAATTTTTGAGTAAAACTGCATTTGAGTAAAACCCTTGCTGAGTTGCTGCTCCTTAAATCATGCATGCTATAATAGCCCTCCTGAAGTCAAAATAATTTATTATCCCTCTATATACAAGGTATACAGTATTGTAACAGGAAATACAATTTGCTTTAGCATATAATGATATATTCTTACGCTCGATAACATTCTTTGAATGCAGTTCTAAGTTCAAAGTTTGATTGATGATATCATGGCTGCATGTGTATAATATGATGGATTGCAGGATGTTGCAAATAGCCAATATTAAATATAGGAGACAATCAACAGCCTACTCTAGCAAGGCAATAATAGCAGACTGATCATGGGTTTTTGTAGATGGACATTTCAAATGGAAACTGTACAGTTAACATGTGTTTCATAGAACTAACTGGGAGCATGTTTCGCTCGCTACTCTGGTTTAAATAAATTATTACAAAGTCCAGTTGAATTGTAATCAAGACCCAACGTTTTGACACTCCAGTCTAGTGTCTTCATCAGGGGTGATCTAAAGTTGCAATTGTCACTTCTTAAATACCCAAGGGATGACGTCACCTGCCAATGAGATGCATGTAATATGATATTAATGTTGCCTTAAAACCGTATTTGACTTTAGGCCATATTTTCGCAAAGCCAAAAGATCCTGTTAAAACAAATCAGAAAACTCATGCTGTATATTCTATACCATGCGGTGACTGCGAAAAAGAGTATTTGGGTCAGTCTTAACACTAGTTTGGTACATGGCTAAAAGAACATCAAAAGGCTGTTTCAACTTTAAAACAAGGGAAAATCAGCTTTATCAGAACATGTGTGTGGCACCAAACACGAGGTTGTGTCGGAAAAATCTAAAGTAATTACCACAAACAATCGCTATCATGGTCAAAGACTATGCCTAGAAGCATGGCATATAAATATGAGTAATTATGCTGTGAATAGGGATGACGGTGCCTATTTGCCAGAGGAATACATGCATCTCATTGGCAGGTGATGTCATCCCTTGGGTATTTAATAAGCCACAATTACAACTTTAGATCACCCCTAAAGAAGACACTAGACTGGAGTGTCTAAACGCTGGGTCTTGATTACAATTCCACCGGGCTTTGTAATTATTTATTTAATCCAAAGTAGCAAGCGAAAAACACAATTGATATACCTGGTTGTGGTGAACAAACACACTTCAAATAACTCAGATAGCAATTGCAAGTCTGCCAGCATAAACTGAACCTACAGCCCTGCAATTCTACTGCTGCCCTCTGACTTAAAGTGTCTGTTTGCCAAGAGGTCACCACAAGTTGCTGTACATACTGTATATAAACCATTAAGTGGTGGTGTCAGTGGTAGTATATTAAGTTAACTGGTATCAGTATTATATACATAAACTCCTGGTGACCTTCATTGACTCTTGGGGCTTGATGGACTCTTTGCAATTAAGGAGCTGATCCGAATCACAGGGGTTTCATTCCCGGCACAATAGCT